AGGATGACGAATTATGGACGGTTAGACGCTCCGGTTTGTAAAAAGATAACCTTTAAAGTACATTGCGATGATATCAAACCATGCGTCCAGCTATGCGCAACTCAAGATCCTCTATATCCCATTCCTTCTATGGTTGCATCTATTGTTTGCCACAATAGTTCAGAATGCGAGTGCATGTACTGCCCAAGAGCTATTAGAAATTAAATTAAACTAAACACGCCTGCAATCGGTTAAATTTGATAGTTTTGATAAGTTTAAAGCGCGTGTTTACGTGCGGTGGTGTGAGTGTGGTGCGTGTCCAGCAGTAGGATGTAGGCTTAGGCCATGATCATAGCAGTGTACTTCTGTGCTTGCTTTTGATGAATTTTGAAGTCTGAAGCCAAATTCAAGTTTTTGGTTAATTGCTTCTTCCAACATGTGTCCATTCTGGTGTTGATTTTTTGGAAAAGTTAAATTTTCCTCGGGGAGTTATTAGGTGATAGATGGATTGAATTGCGTTCGCAGTCAAGAAATATGTCACAGTTTAATTGATTTTTGGTTGCTGTGAGAAGAAATGAAGAATGAAACGCTTTGCTTTGATGCCACTCTGTGTACATGGTGGTGTTTCATTTTCGGAGGTGTCGTCGGTTGACTTAGCGTTGACGGTTGATCTAACGATCTGAAATATGTTGACTTGACGGTTGATTCTTGACAAATGTAGTGGTGGAGTCCTTTCCACCCTTTAAGGTTTACTAATTGCTTCCCAAAAACACCTTGGAGTACTCAATCATTCATCTTTAAAAAACACCTTCTTTTTAGATAGTCCACTGGCTATTTTTATTATCCTTGTATTCTCTCTATTGGTTAAAAACTATCGTGGCACCGCGCATGCCCACCTCTAATCATCATGTGTAAAAATCATTAATTAGAGCTTAGAGCAGGTACAATAAGATTCAAAAGCCGGTGATAAAAAAGCCATATAGGCTTAGACGATGAGCTGGCGCAGAGAGAAAATGAAAGAGAGGATAAGCCGGCGACTAAATAGTCATCGGGATGCACACGCACTCCAAGAGAAGTGGGCTTGCTGCTGTGCACTTCATGAGCTGATAATCGTAGCCATTGGTCGAGAAAAAGTAAAGGAAGAGAGAGAATATAATAACCAAACAACCCCTTAGTTGCTTGGTATTGGAAACTAATCCGGTAATCCATCATGTACGTAAAATGAGACGACTCATTAAAACATGATTAATTAAATATTAGCTTTTTAAAAATAGATTAATATATTTTTTTAAAGCAACTTTTATAGAACTTTTTGAAAAAGAAAAAACACCATTTAGTAGTTTGGAAAGTGTGCACGTGAAAAATGAAGGAAGCAAGTTGGAACTTCGACAAAAATAACTTAGCCTAAATATGGGAGAGAGCATTCGTTGTCAGATCCAGTTCATATTTGTCTGTGATATTTGCTCCGGTCTAAAAAAAGGATCTCGAGGTAACGGTACCTCATGATACCAAATCGTTTCTGATCGTTGGATCTAACAATACTCATCATGCTCAGCTAGATCCAACGATCAAAAACAATTTGGTACCGGTATCTCAAGGTATTTTTTTGTTGGACCGGAGCAAATCTCTTTTTATGTATATCTCTCACACTTAGCAATCCGAACAGGAGATGTTTTGCTAAGGCCATTCACAGTGGGCCTTGCTATCATTCAGCCCTAGGCCTTCACGTATGCCACGAAGAGAGAGAATCCACGCCACGTGTTTGGATGGGCCCACAGAATTAAGGAACGCGTGACCAATATTGGGCACACGGACTTCGGCTCGATCAGGCACAGGCACAAGGAGAGGAGGCTATGGGCACACTGTGGAGTTCGTGGCATGCGGCACCATTCCTCACCACGTCGCCTATTTGGCAACCCAGGCCACATAAAATTCAAGGCGCATTGCTATTGTGCTAAGGATGTGAAAGATCACTTTAGTTCCTCCAACTGTACGCTGAACCATGTTTTATGCTTCTATGGTATTCTATTATAAAGTCTAATGTTTCAAAAAGAAAAGATGATGAATACGGATTTTCTTCTAGATATACTGTAGGAATGTGTCACAGTTTAATTGGTTATGGGTTGCTATGAGAAAATGAAAGGCATTAAATTGCTTTGATTGTCACACTGGTGGTGTTTCAGTTTCAGGGTCGTCTGTTGACTTGACGTTGATCTAATGATCTGGAATCTGTTGACTTAGACTGTTACTCCCTCCGGTTTTACGACGTTTTAAATAATGACATGGTCTTTAAAATATATCTTTGATTTTATTTTAGTGTTATAATATATTTAATAAATATAAATACATATTTACTTTTAATATAAGACTTTTAAAAGTTATAAAAGTTTGATAACAACCTTATTTAAAATATAAAAAATATCAACAATTATAAAATCAGAGGGATAATTGATACTGAAGTAGTGAAGTCCACCTTTTAGTCCCTCAGTCCTTTTAGCCTAACAACTTGTCCCAAGAGCATAGTTTTAGAATGGTCCACTATCTCTATTTAATATTCCCTTCCTCTCAAATAAGTGCATTCCTCTAGTTTAAATTTAAACTAATCGAAATATCTCTGTTTTAAAATATTGTATTTTTAAATTAGAGACATAATAGAAAACACATAAACGACCACGATAACCTTTTTTAGTAACCTCACTACATGCACACATTCAGTACATAAACATAATCCTTTCTTTCTATAAAGCTAATAATCCACTAAACACCTAAAATTCAACATACAAGTATAATATTTATTAGCACTTCTAAAACCTAAGTGCAAGCATGTCACATCAACCCCATTAAACACGCAAAGCTCAACATATAAACATATAGTAATTATATCAACAATTTATTTCAATCTAAAACTAAACATACACATTCTAAATCATCATTCTCGAATCATTTTCGTAATATTTCAATCCAAATCATTTCATCATTCTCCGATATCTACCATATATCCCGCAGCAAAGCGCGCGGGACATCATCCAGTTAAAAGAAAGTTTAATGCAATTAAAAGAGGAAAAAGTACGAATTACCCCCTGAACTATCGCAGTTGACCGAATTACCCACCCGTACTCGAAAACCAGATATTGCTCACCCTAAATTTTCAATACCGGACGAATTACCCCCTACTCAAAACCGGAACGGTTTTGGTCCTACGTGGCATACATGTGGCGCTAATGTGGCAATCCAATCAAAAAAAAGTTAACATGGCCCCACATGTCATGGAGTACTCCAACTCTCTCTCTCTCCTTCCCTCCGGTGACGCGGGCACGGGCGCGCGGCGTGGCATCGAGCCAGAAGCGACGGGGACGACAGCGATGGCCGCCGAGGAGGAGTCGTGCTTGCCGGCAAAGACCAAGGAGGAGCTGTACGCCGGCGGATGCGGGGGAGGAGCCACTCGCGCAGGCAGAATCAAGGAGGCCTCATCGCCGTAGTCCGCCGCCCGCCCGCTCGCTCCACCGTCCTCCTCGGCGCATTCCTCTCGCCCTCCCCACGACGCCACTACTCGCCGCTTCCATCGTCCTCCTCGGCATGGCCCGCCGCCTCCATCGTCCTCCTCGTCGCGTCCCGCCACCCGCCGCGCCCTTATTGTCCTCCTCGTTGCAGCCCGCCGCCTCCACCATCCTCCTCGGCGCGGCTGGCCGTCCCGTGATGCCGCAGCTTTCCTCCCACCGTGCCCCGTCGGCGCTTGGGGCGGTGGAGATCGGGACGCCCGTAGTCACCGCTTTCCTCCTGCCGCAGCGCCGTGCCCCATCGGCGCTTGGGGCGGTGGAGGGGGCGGCGGAGCTCGGGACGCCCGCGGCCGCCGCTTTCCTCCCGCCGCAGCGTTGTGCGCCCGTGCCCAACCGTCTCTTGGGGCGGTGGAGGGGGTGGCGGAGCTTCGAACACCCGCAGCTGCTGCTGCGGCCACCGCCTTCCTCCCCCGCAGCGCCGCGTCCCACTGCCGCCTCCCGGCCGCCCGGCGCCCTCGCCTCGCCCACACAGCCGTACCCGACGCTGCCAGCCATGCGCACCTACGCTTGCGAGACAGAGATAATAGGAAGAGGTGAAGAAGAGGTATGAAGGGTGGGTCCCACCTATTTTTAAAGGAAAATGCAGACTGGATTGCCTCGCGTACACCACGTAGGACAAAACCACTTTGGATTGGATCGAGGAGGGTAATTCATCCAGTACTGAAAGTTTAGGGTGAGCAATGTCTGGTTTTCGAGTAAAGAGAGGGATAATTCATACTTTTTCCGTTAAAAGAAGAAGTAATGGAAAGATGGGAGGCGAGGAGACAACATTTGCATGTAACTAATTTATCATGTCCCATCAGTAGAAATATAATATTTTAGACAATTTAAATGATGGAGATAGTAGTGCTTTATTTTTTTTCTTTCCGTTTTAATCATCGAACCAGTATTACGTCCTCCTCTTGAAGCGTATATAGTTTTTTAATCTCGTTCTTAATCTCTCTTTATTAGTTAAAACTAAACTCCTTTAGGACAAAGGAAGTACTGCTTAACTATTAATGTTATTTGGGCTAAAATTAAATAACTAAACCGCTATATTTTAGTTTGCAAAATCTATTTTCTACAAGAATTCAGGAGTTAAGGCCTTAAGGAGCATTTAACACTACAAAAATTGCAGTGCATGATGGCAAATACATCCATGCAATGGCGGATCTAACATGAGGGCTATGGGATCCCAAGCCGGGCTATGTTATAACCATGAGAACCCCTATAAAGTCTCCACTAAAATTTCCTGTTGTATATCCATTAGAAGAGGGCCGGGGGCTATAGTTTTATATACTCCCTCCGTTTCGAAATGTTTGACGCCGTTGACTTTTTATCATATGTTTGACCGTTCGTCTTATTAAAAAAATTTAAGTAATTATTAATTCTTTTCCTATCATTTGATTCATTGTTAAATATATTTTTATGTAGGCATATAATTTTACATATCTCACAAAAGTTTTTGAATAAGACGAATGGTCAAACATGTGCTAAAAAGTCAACGGTGTCAAACATTTCGAAACGGAGGGAGTAGTTTGTTCCGCCGGCCGTGCATCCATGCCTTAACACCTTTTATCATGTCTGATATCAGACGTACGTATGGGTGTGGGTTAAGTAGCATATCTGTCAATTAGTAATCAACTCACAATTTCGTGGCTAAGAATTTACCGAGCATCACACTTTGACGCGCTAACTAGTTTAATCCAGAAGAAATCCAAAAGAGTGGCTGCTGGGAACGACCTTTGGTCCAGCAGCGAACTCCATACGGCATGAACAAAACACTCAGGATTATAAATGAAAGCCATGACCCAATCTTGATGGCATTCACCATTTCACCACACAAAGGTTGCACAATCTGCAGTTGTTGATTCTCGCTTCCTCCTAAGCTACTTCGTTCGTCGATCTTCCTCGTGGTTGCATTCCGGAAATGGAGCGCGCATCGGTGATCGGGGGCACCATGGTCTCGCTCATGGTGAAGCTCAGCTCCATCGCCGGGCCGAGGTATTCGCTAATGGCGGGCGCGAGGAGTGATGTCATCTTCCTCGGGGCCGAGCTCGAGAGCATGCACGCCTTCCTCGAGAAGCTCTCCGGGGTGGACGGTCCGGACCCTCAGGTGAGGTGCTGGATGAAGGAGGTGAGGGAGCTGGCCTACGACGTCGAGGATTGCATCGACGAGTTCATGCACCGTGTCGATGTCGTCCATGGTGCCGTGACCTCTAACCATGGCTTCAGCAGCCTTAGGGGTTTGGTGAGCCATGCCACCCGGCTCGTGGCCGTGGCTTGGATGCACCACCGCCTCGCCAGTGAGCTCAAGGGCCTAAAGGCCCGTGCCATCGAGGTGAGCGAACGGCGATCGAGGTACAAATTGGGGGATGACATAGGGATGCTAGGAGGCTCGGCCATGGCCACCGACCCACGGGTCAGTGTCCTCTACGCCGACACACCAGATCTCGTTGGGATTGATCGACCAGCGAGTGAAATGGTCAACTGGTTAACTGATGATGTGTGCACTCTCAAGGTGCTCTCAATCATCGGGTTTGGTGGTTTGGGAAAGACGACTCTCGCCATGGAGGTGTACCGTAGAGTTGGAGGGCAGTATAGTTGCAAAGCTTTCGCAACTGTATCACAAAAGCTTGACACGAAGAAGCTCTTGAAGGACTTGTTATCGCAGATTGCACAAAATGAGGTTGACCACATGGGCACTTGGGAGGAAGGTCAACTCATTCGCAAGCTTAGAGAGTGCCTACTGAACAAAAGGTAGGCCCTGTTTAGATTCTAACTTTCTTTTTAAACTTCCAACTTTTTCGTCACATCGAACTTTCCTACACATAAAAACTTTCAACTTTTCCGTCACATCGTTCCAATTTCTTCAAACTTTCAATTTTAGCGTGGAACTAAACACAGCCGTAATACTTTAGGGCACATTCTTTTCAGCGGTTCATTTTGGCTAATTAGATGCACGTAAAACAAGAAATATGATTAATATATATTAATTGAGTATTAATATTAAAAACTTGGAAAATTGACTTCTTTGACTTTTATAAAGCAAAATTTATATAGAAAATTTTCACACGAAATATACTGTTTAGCAGTTTAAAAAATATGCTATACAGAAGCATTTATTCTCATGTTGTCAGAGGCTACTCATTTCCTCCATCCATCGAGCCATCTACTCTGATTTGGCGACTTTTCATACCACAGTTTCAAAAATACTATTGCCTCCGTCCCAAAATATAACAACTTTTAATTGAATAAAACATATCTTAGTACTAAATTGTTATATTTTAGGACGGGTGTAGTATTTTTGCTAAAACTTTCTACAACAATATTGTTTAGGGCTTGATCAATTTAGGAAAATTTTTAACTCGTATGAATAGAAAAATAAAGGAATAGGAATGCATGTACACATCACATCAATTCATAGGATTTTTTCAAGAAGTTTGAATGGATGAATGTTGTTTTTATATTCTCTCTATAACTCGTATGAAAAGAAAAATTCCTTTGATTTTCTATACTCTATTTTTATAAACCAAATGACACTGGCAGGAATTAATTCTTGGAAATTCAAATCCCTTGTTTTTCTTCAAACCAAAGCCCTTAGATAACTTTTCTCTAAGCTATTTGTTAAATTTTCATCTACCCATAATGTATCCAATCATCCAGTTAGAACGTGCTCTTATGATGTGTGGGGCGCAGAGTGGGGGCGACACCAGGAATTAGAGTGCACAGACGCACTAGGGGAAGAACCTTTGCAAATATTTGGCCCCGTTCTTTTCTCCAATAAAAGTTGGATAAACTTTTGGATACTCATGGCACGCTTTTCAAACTGCTAAACGGTGCATTTCGTGCAAAAACTTTCTATACGAAAGTTGATTTAAAATATCATATTAATCTATTTTTCAATTTTATAATAATTAAAACTAAATTAATCATACATTAATATCACCTCGTTTTACGTAAAAAAACTAAATCTTCATCTTTATCTTCATCTTCAGGAGAAAAGAACACCATCTTTATCTAGTTCACCAATCGATATAAAAGGAAGTCGTTCACTAACTAGTAGGAGTACTAAGTAAATATAATACCAGTATTGTGAAGCAGTTGAAAATTTGAAGTTGTATCGTGAAGTACTCCCTCCACTTTGCAAATATTTATTGTTTTGGGCATGACTTATGTGACTTTGGGAAAAAAATTACTTTAGAAAGATAGAAATCATATGTATATATTAATCTTGAAAAGTACTTCATTAAAATCATGTATTCGTTGATATTTCTATATATATTGTAATATAAAATAGTGGTCAAATTTGTTTTTTTTGGACGATGTCCTTGTTCAAAACAACAAGTATTTACAAAATAGAGGGAAGATGTCTTTGGAACTTCTCTAAAGAGTATTGATCTTAATGCACTGACTTTTCTAACCAGTGGCTGAATTGTTCCATAGGTACTTCATCATAATTGATGATGTTTGGAGTAAATCAGCATGGGAGAAAGTGAGATGTGCTCTACCTGAGAACAATCATTGCAGCAGGCTGCTAACAACTACAAGAATTGACTCAGTAGCAAAGTCATGTTGTTCTCACCCTGATGATCTCATCTACAGAATTGAACCACTCAAAGCATCAGATTCCAGAAACTTGTTTTTCAAGAGAATTTTTGGCTATGAGGATGTATGCCCACCACAGTTGAAGGAAGTTTCAGACCAGATCTTGAAAAAATGTTGTGGTTCACCATTGGCAATAATCAGCATAGCTAGCCTGTTAGCTAGCAAGCCTGTCATGTTGAAGGAGCAGTGGGAAAAGGTGCTTATATCTATAGGTTCTGCATTAGAGAAGAACTCTGATCTTGAAGGAATGAAACAAATACTTTCCCTCAGTTACTATGACCTCCCTTACTACCTGAAGACATGTTTGCTATACCTCAGTTTGTATCCTGAGGACTTCAAGATTGAGAGGGATAGCCTGATCCAGCAATGGATTGCGGAAGGATTCATCGGCGAAGAAAGAGGCCAGTCTGTGGAGGATGTAGCAGAGAGTTACTTCAATGAGCTCATCAACAGAAGTATGGTCCAACCAATGGATATAAATTGTGATGGTAAAGCTCATGCTTGTCGGGTGCATGACATGATGCTTGAGCTTATAATATCGAAGGCAATTGAAGAGAATTTTGTCACTTTGTTAGGTGGTCATCCTGTTGCAGCTAAACCGCAAGGAATCACTCGCCGATTATCTATCCAATGTGATAAAGAGATTACCAAAACAAAAGGAGGAATGAATCTGCTTCATGCTAGATCCCTAAGTTTATATGTACAAGCTTGCCAGTTACCTCCATTGTCCGATTTTCGGGTCTTGAGAGTATTAAATCTTGAGGGATGCCTAGGCTTGTGTGACAATCATCTGAAAGATATCAGCATTTTGTTTCACTTGAAGTATTTGAGCCTTTGTAGAACATGGATTTCAAAACTCCCACCAGAAATAGGAGACCTGCATAGTTTGGAAACATTAGACATAAGGGACACAAATATAGAAGAACTACCTGGAACCATTATTAGGATTGTGCAACTGAAGTATATACTTAGTGGTGGCCATACATGGGGAAAAATAAAGCTACCTGATGGTATAGGGAGCATGGCATCCCTAAGAGTCATATCTGGATTCAATATTTGTTGTAGCTCGACCAATGCAGTGCAAGAACTTGGTACTCTGAAAGGTTTAAGGGAGCTTACAATCAACTGGACTGATTTCAGCTCCGGCGATATGAAGCGCCAAGAGGCTATGATGAATACTCTTGGCAAACTTGGCACAAGTAACCTCCAATCTTTCGCGATTTGCAGTCGCAACTTCGGTTCCCTGGAGTTCTTAGATTCCTGGTCGCCACCACCAAATCATCTTCAGAGATTTCGGCTGTCTGCATACTACTTTCTCCCAAGAGTTCCAAGGTGGATGGCATCACTCTGCAATCTCATTCATTTAAACATTAACATTGAAAAACTATCAAATGAAGACATTCAGATCCTTCAGGATTTGCCGTCTCTACTTCATCTCGACTTATGGTTGAAATCACCTCAGAAGGAGGACAAGATAGTTATTCATGGAGTAGGCTTCCCATACTTACAAGAGTTAATCTTCAGTTGTGAAGGAACCTCTTTGATATTTGAACCAGCAGCTTTGCCAAAACTTGAGAGGCTACAGATGGCAGTTCATGTAAAGGAGGCAAAATCATATGGTTACCAATTTGGTATTGAGCACCTTAGATCACTCAAGAAAATTTACATCCAATTATTGTGTGCCGGTGCAAGTGCTCTAGACATCAAGGATGCTGAAGATGCAATCCACACAATTGTGAAGTTTCATCCTGGTCATCCTAGGATAGATATCCAAAAGTGTGGTATGGACATGCACTTAGAGGAGAGAAATAAGAGGCAGCATCCCGAAGAAACGAATGTGCAAAACATGAATGCTAGCAAAGAAGATATGAACCATGCCAACAAGAAAAGAAAAGAATATCAAAGCTCTAGTGCACAATAATCTCTATGTAAATTCTAAAATATATGATCTAGTAGATGAGTCTGGGCAAATATATTTACCTTTTACTGCTCTTTTCATATCCATTAAGTGTCATGAGCTAATAATAGATGTCATTGTAACTCACAAGGAATTACTTTGATGACAAACATTCAACATTTAGACAGGAAAATAATTATGTACAAGCTATCCATTTATGAACAATGAGAAAATGGTTGACAAAGAAATAAACAGAGGCCTGTCTTCTTCACAGAAATGAACAGCAAAACAAGTGCACATTACAAATGGCATGAGCAACATCATGCAGGCTAAACATTCGAATTTACAGACGACAGCTATGTACAAAGGTATGAATTTTAGCTTCACAGGAAAGTTTGGCACGCCAACCCTTTCCAGTCATTACCAATTTTCTTTAACAATCTTTGCCTTCTCAAATATGAATTTTCCTTCCTTGTACTTCTGGGATTCTTCAAATGCTCTTTCATACTTCCAACCCAATACCTCACGGCAATCACGGCAGTAGATATCAGCAACTGTGTGAAGCCCTGTCATAAGCTGCCTGTCCTCCTTTGGACCCATAGATATGTTCATAGCATGAGAGAAAAGAAACGCACGGCCGTTCCTCCCCTAGAATAGCCAAAAGAGCAAAAGAGATAATTTCATCCTCTAAACAGTCAAATACAGCCATAATCCAAGAGATACTTCAGAAATATGGTCTTTGTCTAAATGACGAACAATTGATTGCTAACAGGCTAACAGCAATGCTTGTGCCAAATATTGGGTGTTCCAAACTTTGGTAACAAACTAACAATCTGCCTTCTAGTTAACTTCTTGTACAAATACTGTAATAATTGAAACTCCACTATAGCAATTTCTGCACATTCATTATTTCCTCGGATCGATGTATCATAAATAAAACAAACGAGTTTTTGTTGGAAACATAAACCTACAAGATCCTAAGAATGCAGCATTTGCCAATCTTTAGATTACTGAACCATGATACTATAATCAATGGCTCCTACAGTAAATTAAGGGCACTCATGGCTCCTACAGTAAGCGGCTATGCCATGTTTTTACCTTCTTTAGCATAATATACCAAATCAATCCGGCACTACGCACATCAGAAGCCTAGTGATTAAATCCAATTCAATCTAGATTGTCAGTACATGACCTAAGATTAGTATTTGTCACTTGAGCAATCAGCCCCACAAATCCCCAAGAACTCAAGTTCTTCTTCACCTGAAAGGCCTTGGAGATGATGTCGTCGTGGAGGCAGACGTGGTTCCGGCAATGGCAGCAGCTGTACACCCGCGGCCCAACCAACTCCGCCATCGCCACCGCCCCTCTCCTGCAACCGATTCACCAAATCGAAAGAATCAAGAAGCCGACGCATCACACCCACCACGAACAAACCCAAATAAAAAAATAAAAAAAGAGCACACAATTTCAAGAATCGGAGAAGAATCCCTAAACCCAGAGATCAAGAGACCATCGATCGAACCCGCACCTGCAAATATTTCTCCCCTAATTGATTCCAGAAGAAGCAGGTTCAACCAATCAGGCCAAGAACCAGGAACAATCGAACCAAGAAAGGGAGAGAGAGAGAGAGAGAGAGAGGCAGAGGCGGCCAAGAAAAAGGAAATCAAAATCGGCACGAAACCCAGGCGGCGGGCTGCCTCTCGCGATGCTTCGATCGAAACAAGCGGCGCCGCTGAGGCGGAAAGGAATCGACTTTGTGCTGCGCCAAGTGCAGAGGAGGAAGAAACAGTGAAAGAGAGAGAGAGATGAGAATGGAATCCAAGTAGGAAAGGATGAGTGTGATAGTGAGGTTTGGGCTAGAATATTTGTAATTTAATCAATTAATTAAGGTTAAGCATGTGGATTAAGGCACACACGCTTGGTCAAAACGCCTAATCCGCTTTGTTTGGTTGCTGGGTTAGGGAGCAAGAGAAGTGACAAGGATGCAAGCCAAGGAAAGGAGGGATTTTGATTAGTAGGTTTTGGTGTGAGTGTGACTGATGACACCACATGTGACTCACATTGAGATTTGCAGATTGCAACGACGTTTTAATGAAATGAGATTGCCATGATTATCTAGCATACTACTCCATCGTCCTATTTTAAGTATAGATGTGGATTTTCGTGTCTAACGTTTAAACGTCTATTTTATTTAAAATTATAAAAAAAATTAAAAAAGTAGTCACATATAAATTATTATTCAAGTTTTATCATCTATACCCATAAAATTACTAATCTTAAAAAAAATTAAATAAGACAGACAGTTTGATAGTGTAAAACTGGGGTTACAGTTACTGGAGTACTAATGAAGTAGTCATAATCATTTATTAGGACAAGATTTTCTGCAACAAGGGAAATTGCTAAAGGAGTGGATTATGATACTCCCTCCGTCCCATAATATAAGGGATTTTAAGTTTTTGTTTGCACTCTTTGATCACTTATCTTATTAAAAAAATTTAGAATTATTATTTATTTTTTTTTGACTTGCTTTATTATCCAAAATATTTTAAGTACAACTTTTCGCATTTTATATTTGCACAAATTTTTTAAATAAGATGAGTAGTCAAACAATGTAGAAAATCTCAAAATCCTTTATATTATGGGACAAAGGGAGTACTATTTTGACAATATAATATGTATTTTGTGCTATCATTAGTGCCGAATTGTTTTTATGCTCTTTTGATGATAGTACATGTTTTTCACTGGTCAGCACTAGTATCACAGCATGGTGAACTCATCTCATCTCATCTCGCTATCTCAGCAAGTGAGTGTAACACGTGCACGCTAGATGCCAAGCAGTAAGTTCTCAAGATTAACTTTTTACTCCCACCTCTGAAGATCCAGCCTCCATTATTGCTGTGTGTTTATTCACAGTGAATTTCAAACATGCTCACCTATCCCCAACTGTGCAATCTTCTACTCCTATCACTACCACACTGTTATCTTATCCCCCATTTTATATTCCCAACTAATCTTGCAATCTCTACAATCACAAAGAATGAAAAAAAAATGATTTTCTGTGAGCAAAAATAAAATGTTTTGTTATGTAGTCAAATGCAACTACTACTAGGATTTTTGTTGCCTTATCCAGGACTAGGGATGTTATGTCCATTTATATTATACAAGACCATAACAGCAGACCACGATGACGAATAAGGGCCCGTTGACCAGTCGGTTGGGCCGAATGGCTCGCAAGCCCATCGTCTTGTGCAAACCCGCTGAAAGCAGTAGTCAAATGACGTGGTGAGATCGTATTGGGCACTGGCCTCCTAAATCGCTGAGAAGCCGGCTAATCTAGCACCTTTAAGATATCTTATATTCCCAACTAATCTAACAAGCTTTAATTACAATCACAAAGAATGGGAAAAAAACTATTTTTTGTGAGGAAAAAAATGATTTATTTATGTAGGCAAATGCAACTACTACTAGAAAGATTTTTGTTGGCTAGTCCAGGACTAGAGGGTGCAGTGCATTCAATTGCTTGCTTCCTCTTCCTCCCCTCCTCCTTCCCCAAAGCAGCAAGGCCAGCCTGTGTTTCCCAAACACCCACAGCCATCACCTCCTCTTCTTCCTCTCTGCAGTAGGGGTGCTAGGCTAGGGTAGCTAGCTAGCTACCATCATCATGAGCTCAATGCCACAAGAAGCCATTGCTCCCCATCCTTCCTAACCTTCCTGCTGGTTTTGCAAACATCCCACACACACACAAAGCAGTGACAGTGAGTGCCAATGCTGAGCTCTTGTGGTGGCCATGGCCATGGAAATCCAAGAAGCTTGCAAGAAGAACACCATGGCAGATGTGGTGAGCAGCAAGGTGGAGGAGGAGGAGGAGGGCAAGAGCAAGAGCAAGATGGGTTCTTGGTGAGAGAGGCAAGGGCATCCCCACCATCTCCATCTTCTTCATCATTTCTTGGATCCACAAGCTCTTCTTGTTCTGGAGGAGGAGGAGGAGGGCAGATGTTGAGCTTCTCCTCCCCCAATGGAACAGCAGGTGAGATGAACTGATGATGCTGATGCTGCAGTGCAAAGAACCAGGGAAAAAAAGATTTATTTGCTTTTTTTTTTAGTCTTCTCTGGTGAATGTACTGTTGCATCCGTGGTGTGTGTGTGTCTGTGGGGTTTGATCGATCCCCAGCTGGTGATTGTTTTTGCCCATCATGGTCTGAGAGTCTCTCATGGCATCATCCTGCAAAAGCCCCTGCCTTTGGGGTCTTGTCAATAGCAAAAGGAGGGCTCTTCTCTTGTTATTCCCCTCCACACACACTCTTTTGCTTTTCTTGCAACCCACCTCCACCTCAAGGATGTGTCTTGTCCCCAAAGATGTGAGCTTTTTCTTCCCCCTTCATCCCAAGAAAAAATAAAGCTAAAGAAGGCAGCAGCAGCAGCAAGCACCGACTTGTGTTGTGCTGCTGTTTCCTTAAAATCTTGCATGTGTTGGAACCAGGAAACCATACACCACATGCTCATGGGCATCTTTGGCATCAGGCCTATTTGCTCTTCTTGGCTTTAGTAGTGAGTACTTCATCATTTGTGCTCATCAGTTTTGCTTGTGTTGTGATGAAGGGTTGGGCTTGAGCTCAGGAGGAAGCATGCAGGGGGTCTTGGCAAGGGTCAGGGGGCCGTTCACCCCAACACAGTGGATGGAGCTGGAGCACCAGGCACTGATCTACAAGCACATTGCTGCAAATGTTTCTGTCCCTTCCAGCTTGCTCCTCCCCATCAGGAGAAGCCTCCATCCATGGGGTACTACCTTTTTTATTCAGCTCATGTGATTGTTATTCTGTTCTGCGTCATATCCCCTTTCTGTTGTAAATAGCTCAAGATAGGAATAAAGGAATAAGTACTTAGAAAATATGAAAGAAGAAAATGCAGGTCATATGGTTGCAGTTGCCTGTTAGTTTCAGATGTATAAAGGTGTCCCAGATTGGGGTTCTGTTGTGTTGAGGTTGGTAGTTATATCTTGTTGTCTTTCTTGGGACAGGATGGCTTTGTGATTAATTAGTTTGTAAAGGCAGTAATCGAAGTCCCTTTCTGGTACTAAAAGCAGTATTGGCTGCAAATCTAGGCATTATAATGATTTGAAGATTGCATTGATACTAGAAATGTACTGCTTTTGGATGTTTGCATGATGCTCATGTGCTAATATTTCCAGTTACCAATGTGGTGCTTCTTGAGTTTAGATATAAAACTCTTCTCTTACATTGGGATTCTGATTTTTTTTTAGTTGTGCCTCTAGTCTTTTCCACAACAAGATCTCCAAATGTAGTCATAAAGTGTTCTGATTCCCTTTAACTGGCGTCATGTTTGGTATGTACAAACTAAGTTCTTATGCAGACCTGGGAGGAATGTTGCTGAAATAGTGCAAGAATATATCGTTTTGAGGTGGTTTATATATTTCTGACATGAAATGGGCATTCTATTTTGCACCAGGATGGGGATCATTCCCTCCTGGCTGTGCTGATGTAGAACCCAGAAGATGCCGCCGCACAGACGGCAAGAAGTGGCGGTGCTCCAGAGATGCTGTTGGGGATCAGAAGTATTGTGAGCGACACATAAACCGTGGTCGCCATCGTTCAAGAAAGCATGTGGAAGGCCGAAAGGCGACACTCACCATTGCAGAACCATCCACGGTTATTGCTGCTGGTGTATCATCTCGCGGCCACACTGTGGCTCGGCAGAAGCAGGTGAAAGGCTCAGCTGCTACTGTCTCTGATCCTTTCTCGAGACAATCCAACAGGTGAAGTTGCCTGATCCTACATGAATATGCATTTTGTGCTTCTTGCATGATGTGTGGACACTGTGAGGTGGTCTTTGTCAAAATAAATGACATCTGTTGCCGATACAGTAATTTAGTCCAGCATGTGGTAATGGAGGTGCCAAATCCTAACAACCTATAAGTAATTTATGTATGTATCAGGATTCTAGGCAGCATAATAAAACATCTAACAAATAGATATTGTACAGAAAAGTTAAGATGAATTTGACCAAGCTAGTGATATCAATATACAGTAGGAAAGTCCTCACACAATTATTTAGTTTGATTATACTCCAGTTTCTGTGATTGCATTAGTCATTCATTTAATTATGAGTTAATGTCCCTACAATGAACTCCATTTTTTCTGCTCTCTCTCTCTCTCTCCTTTGTAATGAAGGAAATTCATTTCTTCTTTAACCTGCTGCAATTAACAGAAGGAAAATTTGCACATTGTTATCTGAACTAAAGATCTGACTCTACTTTGCAGGAAATTTCTGGAGAAACAGAACGTTGTCGACCAATTGTCTCCCATGGATTCATTTGATTTCTCATCCACACAATCTTCTCCAAACTATGACAATGTAGCATTGTCACCACTGAAGTTGCACCATGATCATGATGAATCTTACATCGGGCATGGAGCAGGCAGTTCATCAGAAAAAGGCAGTATGATGTACGAAAGTCGGTTAACAGTCTCTAAGGAAACACTTGATGATGGACCTTTAGGTGAAGTTTTCAAAAGAAAGAATTGCCAATCAGCTTCTACAGAAATCTTAACTGAAAAATGGACTGAGAACCCCAACTTACATTGCCCATCTGGAATCCTACAAATGGCTACTAAGTTCAATTCAATTTCCAGCGGCAACACAGTAAATAGTGGTGGCACCGCAGTGGAGAATCTTATCACTGATAATGGATATCTTACTGCAAGAATGATGAATCCTCATATTGTCCCAACACTTCTCTAAGGCTGTGTTTGAAAGTTCATGTTGGATTCGCAAATGATTGAAAGTACGTTTATGGATGGTTCTATAAGTTCCTGTTGTTTCCTTCGTTATGTGTTCTTGTGTTCCTCACCTTTTTATCTTTTGGTTGAGGTTGGTATGTTGTAATTTTCTCCTGTGCTACCTTGTAATATGCTGAAGTTAAATGCTCTTCTAAAAATTTCTGTTGCAATCCAAGATTCAGGATTTATGTGTCCAATTCTGAATTTTAATGAATCATGCCCCTTAAATGTAAAGGGAATTGTATATTTCATTAATTTGACAAAAACGTTGCCTTCTGCTCCAGCTTTTCAAGAGTAGGTTCTTCAGCCTGAAACTAGGTTTGAGAACAGATCATTCATTCTTTATGAGATATAACCAATGCCTAAGATGTATAAACTATGTAAGCATAACTGTGTATTGACAAAAATGCAAGTAATCACATTGTGTAGAATAAGAAGATAATTTTAATATTACCAAAGAAGCTGTTCTAGTATAACCCCTTCTTTATTCAAGAACAGTGTTCTGCACTTCAGACAACCAAAAATTTACACTTACACATACTGCGCAGTAATTGGAAATTACAACAAGAATTGTAACATCAATCATAGCCCACAGCCTATCAAGGACTTATTGCATCGATCAAGCATATCACCTCCGAGTGAAGATGATAGAACATAAGAACAACATACATCATGGTAAGTTGATAACAGTTTTTGATCCATCAAGCAACTCCTGCTGACCTTATCTGAAAGCAGGTGCCTCATGTTTCAAGAGACCGGTGAACTTTCGGCTTGCTATGTCGCGAGCAGAAGGACTTGAGCCTATCAATACCATCTTCAAGAGAAGACGGTTCGATGGCGAAGGTGATTCGGAGCCAATTCTTGTATCCAACAGCACATCCTGGACAATTTTTTTTACCAAGTTGTTAATATTTCAAACAGAAGGCAATTCTGAATCACTGATCATTGTAGAGACAAAACAAATTGTACCGAACAGATGGAATGAGCTAGAATTTTGAAAGTTAAATGATGTGCATGGGAGGAATCAGGATTCAGGAATGTACCTGGCAAAAGAATCACCAATTCTTCCTTTGCTAGCTGGCAGCAGAAGTCCATGTCATCTTTGATGCCTTGCAGGCAGGACAGATCCAGTTTCACCTGCACCAAGCCAACCAAAACATCATACACCATCAGAAATTCCCTTTGATTCTCTTCATTGTGAAGCAGAATATTTGACTGACCATGACAAACATGGAACCCTCAGGTTTGCTTGGGCAAGTGATGCAACTGATGCCCTTCAGCTTCTCCCAACAAATATCTGCGGTCTGCCTTAGGACATCGACGGTCTTTTCGAAGAATTCTTCCTTTGTGTTCTCTATGAGTTGTGGAATTGCTCCCTGAAAAAAAAAATTAATCAAGGTAGAATGTAAATCATTATGTTTTGATATTATGTATCTCCACTGATCTTTTTATTCTGCCAAGTTATGTACAATTTATCTTTAGAAGAGATGTGATCAGGCAATTTTAGTTACCTGGATAAATGTTGCAGGATCAGCCGAGATATCAAGGTAACTCTGGATGCTTTCCACTACCTGAAAAGGGGGATCAAGGCTAAGAGTTGTTTGACCGTTTCCAAGGGTTAGGTTTCAGATAATACCAAAAAGTGGAAGCTATTTCATTAAGCTTAGATTGCTGCTAGTCTGCAATATCTGCATTCTTTGTTGAATAAACTACAAATATCCTTGATTTTTGTTGTTGATTGCAACAATACTTGTATGAAAAGGGTTTGAAGTTAAACTTAAACAACCTTGGTCCTTTGAAATACGCCATTAGGATCGCTCGTCACAATCCATCCAAGTCGCCATCCAGGCACAACCCATCTCTTCGATATCGATCCTAACGTAAGAACTGGAGCTACTGAGCCAAACACCCCCATCGGCACAAATTTATTCTGCCCAAACGTCAAATGTGCATACACTTCATCTGCAATGACAAAGATGCCAAGCTTTTTCGCGGTCTCGGCAACCTACAAGAAACACTGATCCTTGATCAAACACACTGAAATTTCCCCCAAAATGATCCCCAGTAGGAAAGAAATGACTAATTAACTCAGTACTTGCCTTGGCCAAATGCTCAGAAGTGTAGACATTGCCACAGGGATTTCCTGGATTGATAATGACCATTGCAACCGTGTTCTTGTCAGCAAGTTCCTGCACTCCATCAAGATCAACCTCCCAGCCACTCTCTGGGAGAAGATCAAAGTACCTGACCTCCATGCCATTGAACACTGCGCGTGCCTCGTGGAACAGGTACCCTGGCCTTGGGCACAGGATGTTGGCACCAGGGCGAGCTAGGACAGAGCAGATGATCTCAATCGCTTGAGCACAGCCACTTGTCAGGTACACATCATCAGCTGATAGCTCATATGGCAAGTCTCGCGATAAGTACCGCGCGATAGACCTGGAATTCAACTTCAGTTTTAGGATTTTTATGTCTAGCTATGGTGAGGAAGATATGTGCCAGGATTGTGAACAGTAAAACAGGTACATTGATCTTTGTGAAATCAACACTATGTGAGCCTAAATTTTGTCAGACTCTTTAAATTTGCTGCCTAGACACAGATGTCATGATTGAGGATTGTGTGTTAAGACTTAAGAGTACAAATTCAGCCACTCTGAAATTTCAGAGTGGACCACATGATCACTTTTAAGTCTTATATAACCCATAGTTGAAATTTAGGGTGGACCATATGCACTTACTCCACAGTAATCTGTCAGGTTTGTTATGCTTACTCCATAGTGATTCTGTTGTCAGTTAGTGGTCACACAGTGTGAGGCCACCAGTGGTTTATATCATGCCTGAACAACCTAATCATTTGACAAATCCAGTACCATTGCTCCCTTTTTATGGACAGCCAAACCAGTTGATGTCCAAAATTGTTTTTGCCTAAAGATCATTGTTTTCCGCTGATTTGGTCAATTTGTTCAGAATGAACAAAACGCAAAGCTTTGATCTTTTTTCATCCCGTAAGGTAAATTCTAAGGAAATTTCATCTTTACCATGTAGAATAGAAAAGAAAGAATTTTAGAAGCGGATTAATACAGCAACATTTGCAGCATGAACAGGTGCTAATTAGAGAGGGCACCATCGGTTGGCCTAATAAACCAAAGTCAAAGCCAAAATTTAAATTTTAAATTTAATTCTGAAGTTGATTCTAAGATATTTTTAACTTACTTTTTTTGCATTGGTTTTTAAGTTGCTTATGTTGTGTTTATGTAAGTTCCCAACTTCCCCTACTTTATTATCCACGCGCACGCTTCCCAAACTGCTAAACGGTATATTTTTTTAAAAAAATTTCCAATAAGAAAGTTGCTTTAAAAAATCATCATAATCTATTTTTTAAAGTTTTTTCAGCTAATACGTAATTAATTATATGCTAAACTATTACATCGTTTTGCGTGTCGGGAGGCATGGGTTACCTCCAAACACAACCTTAGAACACATATACAAAAGTTTTACCTACAAATTAATTTGTACTCCCTACATCCCTAAATATTTGACGCCGTTGACTTTTTTAAACATGTTTGACCATTTGTCTTATTCAAAAAAAATTAAGTAATTATTAATTCTTTTCTTATCATTTGATTTATTGTTAAATATACTTTTATGTATACTATAGTTTTACATATTTCACAAAAGTTTTTGAATAAGACGAAATGTCAAACATGTTTAAAAAAGTCAACGGCGGTAAACATTTAGGGAAGGAGGGAGTACTCCCTAATAACCCATTTTAGCTTATTATGAAATGAAACCGATGGGGCTGAGAGAGTAATTGATGGCGATTTTCTGACCTCCGTGCAGGCTCGAGGCCGACGCAGGAGGAGTAGGAGTTGTGCTCCCCGGACCGGAGCGCCGCCGCCACGGCGTCCACGGCGTCCGCCGTCGTCCGGAAGCACGGGAACACCGACGGGTCGCCGTGTCCCATCGGGATCACCGCCCGCCCACCACCACCACCACCATCTCCGCCGCCGCCCGCCGCCATCCCGGCCTTGACCCTGCCCAGCACGCCGCGCACCGACAGCGCCGTCAGCCCGAGCAGCGCGCCGTTCGGCTCGAAGTTCCACGCCGCCGCGGTGGCCGGCGGCCGCCCGTTGCCGGAGCCGTCCTCCATTGCTTGCGCCAGCTTCGGATTTTTTTTTTTTGAAAAAAAATGTTTATTTTGAGTGGTGACAAATAGTAGGATTTGATGTAGGAAAAAGTCTGAAGCTCAAGGTTCACTTGTACTTGATGCAGGTAGAGGATGGGGGCAATGGGGAATCTATATAAACAAAAAAAAATTTGAAAAAACAAATGCAAATTGTGCTGGTACTCACTTCATTTTCAAATACTAGCCTGTCACCTGCCATTATTTTCTTTAAACTTTAACTGCTCGTCTTTTTTTAAAAAAAAAAAAAAGATTTGCAAACACCTAAAAAGATACTTTCTCTGATTCAAGTTACAAATACGCTTTAGGATTTGAATAAATTCATGCATGGATTTATATATGTGTTTAAGGATGAAGGATAAAGAGATCAAAACGTCTTGTAAAATGGGTATCATATTTTCAGCGTATTGGATTCCTAATGTAAGCATGGAATTCCTGTTAGTCTAATCTAACCATTTAAGAATAATTTACCGTCAAAATTGAAACAATAATATACAACAACGATAGATATTTGAAAACGGATCGAGTGATACTTCCAGCAATAAGCAAAGACAGACTTCCTTTGTTTGTTCAAAAACATGAACAAAGCCAAATTAGAATAGTTTGTTTCATTAACCTGCAAATCGACAAGCAATGGCAGAGAGACAATCCGGAGTTACATCATCAAAGAGGGCAGATTTGACTTGATTATTTGACTAGCTCGCTTTGGAGTAGTTGCCACTAAATCGATCGAGAGCCAGAATTCATATGATAATTAATTGACGACGATCGATATATGCCAAGAGCTAGCACGTACGACGACATAAGCGCTTGCATCAGCGCTGACGTGGCTCTCCACGTGTAGAATCCACGCATGACGTGTGATATATCTGGCGATCGTGATACGGAGAGAGAAGTTTTAGGCGGTTTGAGAGTTGAACAAAGAGAAGAAAAAAGAATATTATTTTCTAAACACACGTTTCCCGAATTGCTAAATATTGTATATATTTAAAAAAACTTTCTATAAAAAGTTGCTTAAAAAATCATATTAATACTTTTTTAAGTGGTATGAAATGTAAAGTTTGTGACACGAATAGATATATGTGTTGCGTCATTGTGGTTCGCTCCTGCTCATCTCTCGATAGCTTTGGACGGCTTGTTTGGCAACTCGAGGGAAGGGGATTGGGAGTTTACACGAAGGAATTGATGGTGAGATTAAGATGGGAATTTGATTTTTCATCCCAGTCTCTTGTTTGGTAGAGGTGGTGGAAATTGATAGAGAGATTAGTTGGAGATTAGATTATTAATGAAAATGGATGGCTGAGATTTGTTTATGCGAAGTAAAGGAGGAATTCCCTCCCAATTACCACCCCTGCCCAGGTATTGAAAAGGAGGGAGTTTATTTCTCAATTCACCATCACTATCCCACCAAAATTCACATGTCTCACAACCAAACAAAACAGTAAATAGGCTCATCCATCTAAACTCCTAATCCCTACTAAAAACTCCCCCCAACCAAACGGGCCGGGAAGGAACACAACATCAGGAGGTTTTCAAGAGAAACCCTTTACTTTGTTTCTGTCATCGTTCATCAAATCATGTAGGAGGCGGTGGATCTTGGCGGGTGCATCACTCTTAGGAGCCTGTTTGGGAGATTAGGTTTTTTTTTAATCCTCTTGGGATATTTTTCTCCATACTGCATGCGCTTCTGACGTTCGTCCTGTGTAAACTCGTTTGCTTCCTACTAATTGAATGGTGTGCACGCACGAAAAAAAAAAGACTATAGACCAATAATGCATAAAGTTGTGAAAATAAGTACTTCTCCTGTTATTTAATATATGACGCTGTTGACTTTTATTATAATATTTAACTGCATTATTAAAAAAGATATGCAAATCTTAAAAATATAAGGTACTTAAAATTCCTTTAGTGATACATCAAGCCACAACAAAAGAAAAGATATTTACTTCAATTTTGTGAATAAAACAAATGGTCAAACACAGTATAAAATGATAACGGTGTTATATATTAAAAAAAATAGAGGTAGCAAGATTTTATTTTGAAACAGAAGAGCAGGGAAAGTGGGAAACCTTCTGGATTACAGAGTATTCAGCACATATAACACAAGATCCATGCAGATCGCACTTGAAAATTGAAATGATGCCATCCCACCATTTTGTGTGACCTCAACAACATGAAAGACTAAAAAATACCGGCTGATTGAAACTTTTAGAACCAAGCCAGCCGGAGACCCCAAGAGGCCAGAGCACACACATCTCTTAACGCTGCAAATGAGCCTGCTGCTAAGTGATAGGAAAAAAAAGAACTTTCTAGGGAGGCAGATTTTCGTCACTCGAAGATACATCCCACTGTGCTTGTGTTTGTCGCCAAAAAGTTTGACTGTAAATAACAAATTTGTAAATAGTGCGTATTATTTATAGTCAAATTTTTTTTTCGGTCGTATACTAAGTTGAATATGAACTTGTATGATTGTGGTGATATATCACATATTTATCCACTTTTTTAAGAAATACAATTTTCTTTTGCAAACGTGTTAATATTTCAAACTGAAGGCAACTCTGAATCACTTATCATTGTGGAAATAAAACATATTGAACCAAACAGATGAGGTGAGCTAGAATTTTACAAGTTAAATCATGTGTATGGGAGGAATCAGGATTGTACTACCTGGCAAAAGAACCACACATTCTTACTTTGCCAGCTTGCAGCAGAAATCCATGTCATCTTTGATGCCATGCAGGCAGGACAGATCCAGTTTCACCTTCACCAAGCCAACCAAACATCATCCACCGTGAGAAATTCCCTTCGATTCTCTGTATTATGAAGCAGCATATTTGACAAACATGGAACCCTCAGGTTTAGCCCAGCCTTGGGCGCAGGATGTTGGCACCAGGCAGAGCTAGGACAGAGCAGATGATCTCAATTGCTTGTGCACAGCCACTTTGTCAGGTAGACATCATCAGCAGATAGCTCATATGGCAAGTTTTGTGATGAGTACCAATTGACCTGAAATTCAACTTGAATTGTAAGATGTTAATCTAGTCATGGTAAGGTAACTCTGTACCAGGATTGTTAACAGAAAACATGTATGGTGAACTTTGTGAAGTTCATACCATGAGCTTAACTTTGTCAGACTCTTTTAACTTGCTGCCCAAACACAGACAGGTCATGATTGAGGACAGTTTGTTAAGAGTACAAATTCAGCCACTTTGAGTGATCAGCTATGTACTGACTGCTTAAGAGTATATAGATGCAAGAGATGAGAGTGATCAGCTATGTACTGACTGCTTAAGAGTATATAGATGCAAGAGATGAAGGGCCTGTTCACTTTGATGCCATTTTCAACCTTACCAAATTTTAGTAAAGTTGCTAAAAAAATGGCTATATTTAGTTTGCTGTCAAATTTTGGTAACTATATAAGAAATCCTGCCAAAATTTTGATAACTATGCCAAAATTTGGTAAGGTTTTTTTTTGGCATCAAAGTGAACAGGCCCGAAAACTATATGATTGTATAAATTGCTACATTGCTTGCCTACCGGCAAGATTGGAGTGATCAAGGTTTATAACCACAGAACAGTAGTGAACAGTCAGGGTTGCACAATTGCACTTGTCTTTCACAACAAATGCAGATAAAAACGCAGGCCAACACAACGAGAACTTCAGGTCCAGAAAGGCCAACTCCATTATATGCTTCAAAACCTAAACAAGTCAATATCTGTACTACGCAGTAAGCACCTGCATCAGCACTCAGCAGCGCTTCAAGTAGTTCACACTTGCAGACGACCTTATACCCATCAGAACCAAATAGAGTATATACTTAGTCAGCATATCTTAGGATTCTAACTAGGCATCAGCAGATAGCATAGAACAACACCAACACTAAATTGTCAATCAAAACAACCCGCATGCCGATAGGCGAATTTTAGGAACTAATAACAGCAGATAGCTGGCAAATTTTAGGAAGAAATAAGTACAGAGATAGGTAGATCAGATTAGCACAGATAGATGGTCTAGAAATAATAGGTCAGGACTGACACATTCAACAGGCAGGGTTCCTAGTCTTAGATAAGCACCCAGCATACAGTGCCTAAGTTGGGACTCATCAGGATGGTTACTGACTATCAATTGCTAAGTGTTGCCGCAGCTCAGCCCGGATGCTGTCAAACTGTCGTTTAGCATCACCGTGTGCTTCCTCAGCATTGTTATTCTCCGCCTTCAGTCTTGACAGCTCTGCATCTTCATCCTCCTTTTTCTTTGACATCTTCTGGCCTTTCCATCGGAGTTTCCCAAGTTCCTGTTCAAGCTTGGCTATAGCACTATCATTTTCATCAAGCAGAGCATCAACACGGGACACAGCAAAGGCCTTATCCGCTATCTGTTCTTTCAGTTTCTCCCCGTCTCTGAGAGAATTGGTGTAATCTGATCTGATCTGGAGCAATTTGGTCAGAATCTGCTGCAAAGACTGAACACTGAATCCATTTTCTTCTAAAATGGTAAGTGTTTTGATGTGGTCTTCAAATATTTCCATGCTGTCCGTTATGCATAATTTACTTATATTATCCACTGCATCAGTATATGACCACATTAGACCTAAAGCCGTTCCTTCACGCAGCCCTAGTGGATGGTGCTTGAGTGGAAGGAAATGTGGCTGCTGTGGCATCTTTCGAAACACATCCATCTCTTCAAATAAAGACCAAACATGGGACCTCTTGGTGAATGGGGCCTGCTGACCAGTGAGTTGACACTTAGATATATCTGAGACCATAGAATTCCCACCAAATGAGCAGCGCCTTAATATGGCATTGTCACTGGTGCACGGCAAACTCCCACTGTTCCCAATATGTAATTGGATTGATCCCTGTCCCACTTTCCCACCCACCTCATGCCCAACTGAACAGTCAAGAGGTAACATAGATTTCTCCATAAGATGGCTGATTTCAGCTACTTCGGTAGCCACATTGTCAGATTCTGCATCTCTATTATGATTATCTTGACAAATGCTATTGATTGTAGCAGTCAGCTCTTCATCGAACAGACTAGAATTTAAGTTAACTTCAGAGAAACCATCAGTGTTCCAATCACGAGAACCTGCAAAAAAAACATCATTAGAAAACTGCTACATTGAATGCAACAAAATAAGTGAACATTTACAGCAAAGATAGAGTTCCCAGAACATACGTTTTCCATTGACAACTGATTCAAAGCCTGGAGGTGTTAGTGGCAACAGTTCTTGATTTGTTACTTCATTTGCATTCAGGTTATCCTCCAAAGCCTTATTAAGCTGCTGCTGAATATGAGTTTCACCCTCCAACTGTCTCTGAACAGGATACCAGAGTGAGAATGTGGCAGTCGATGGAAATATGTGATCAAGACAAGTTTCATACCTCCACAGAAGATCCTTTCAGTCGCCCTGCAGCTTTCTTTCTACGTATTGGCTGGACAGTACTGGTTGCATCCAATGAGTTATGTGGGCTATCTGATTCTTTGGAGCCCTTCTTTCTAGCAACTGCAGATTGTACATCAGTTGTTAGATTTGATGCATCATCTTGTTGATAGAACAGTACTAGACAAACTACTTACATTTCTTCAAGATAAGAAACTTAGTATTTGAACCACTATCAGCCTCTCTTGACACCTGCAAACAGATTGACAAGCAGCACAAAAACTGCTCATGAATATGGATTCAGGATGGATAAGTTCGTAAAAGTCAACAGCACAAGACTTACGAAGTCAAAAGCCTTTATTTGTTTACCCAGAGGAGATGGGGTATTGCATTGTGAAGAGACACTCAAAGCACAAATAATTTCTCTGCTTGGAGAAGTACTGTTTCCCTTTAACTGAATCTGGACCAGCAAAAAGATTCAAATGGCCATAAATTAAAAATTATCTGCATGTAAGAAGTAATTCAAGTACAAAACACAACAGATGGGACTCACATTATCAGAGGGATCGTTCATGTCCTGAAGTGCATGAATAAGTCTCATTTTACCCCGTTTGAGCTCGGAAGGCATGATTTTTTTAGTGTGTAGTTGCTGGACAGAGAGCAGCCCTCCCCGTGCCTTCCGTACAGGATTGTATCTGCGAGATAATGCCATTTTCTGTTTTCCAAACTTTTTAGTTGAAAGCATAGCATAGCCTTCATTCATACTTGTTCCACAAGCAGATGTATTAGCCTGACCATTCGTAAGCATCATGTCAGATATAATTTCTTGATTAACCATTGTCTTCCCAATACCATCTTCTCTTGATTCATTCTGAGGTATTCTATGTCCTGTCGAAGCATCAAGAATCCCCTTCACTGGTACCAAACAGTTACTCACTATCTTCTTCGAAAGCACTTGAATTTTTTTCATTCCAGATGGGTCAGAGCAAGACTTTGGAGAATGATTGCTTCCCGATGACTTGCATAATTCAGATAAAGGAGTGTTCATCTCAGAATGTGAAACATCCTCAGAATCTTCAGGTAACATGCCTTCAGGTTGCTGCGTTGCATTGAACTCCTTCCTTGACCTTTTTATTGACCTTCTCCGGGCAGAAGATTCAGTATCATGTCTATGTTCATCATCACTGGAGAACACATCAACTGGTGAGCTTGGGCTTTTTCCAGACATAGACTGCTGCCTCAAGTGTCTCTGTACAGGTAAAGAAACATCATGAGTGGATCATGCAAGTTGACGTACAAGCTATTGAAACAACAATCATAGAGAAACCAATGCATGTAAGAACAATAGCAAAAATATGAACATGAATGAACAGATCAATGTGTATGACTGCTAATCCATGTATTTGGGTACTGTAAACATAATCATAATATGTCATGGCTGCACATTCGTGGCCAACAAACAGTTCTCTAGCCTATATGTGTTTCCTTTCTTCTGCTCTCACCATTACATCGAAATGAGCTTTTCACATTCCACCGTGACATGCAATCCCATTTTCCCCATTAAATGCAGCTTTCTTTTTTCCCCCCTTTTCCCATGTTTAGCATATGATCCCAGTTTTTATGTTTTTTCTGTTACTTGTTTGGCTATGGGCCCACTGGTACAATTTTTTAGATCATTGAATGGCAATATCCACAGATTCGTTTTTGTTAAAAGGAAGAATTTTATTGCTGATAGAAAGTTTTACTATTATTTTAAAAGTTGCCCATTTGTATCTCTGTTGAAAGTTTTGTCTTATTGTGAAATTTTCTTGATATGTAGATGAGAGTTTTTCAGTTCTATATGATTTTCTCTGTATAATAGGTTTTCCGGTTTTAGCTGAAATTATTTTAGTTTACGAATACAGAAAATTAATGCAAAAACAAATATCTACAAGATAACGATGGACCAAACATTTCAAACCAACTGTGAAACCAACAATTGTCTGAATTCAATCATGCATGCATACAAGAGATATTGTTTCCTAAGTTCAGACAAAACGTCTCCAAACTATGTGGGAATTCTGCACAACTACCAGGTACAATTTAAAAATAATTCTGAAATATGAAAACAACAGCTTGCTTAATCCGATATACCAAAGCAGATTTCACAAGTATCCAGGACTTTAACAACAGCCCACAAAACATCGCGCTGACCTTAGCCATATGGTACACAGACCCATCGTACCCCAACTATCCCAGATGAAAATTACAATGGTGAAGAACAAAGTTGTGGAGACAATACAACAAAAATTGAGCATGTTTTTCAGTACAAGGGTGAAGCATTCGACAAAATGCTTGCTGTTCAATCACTCGTTAAACATAAGTTTGCTTGAAACTTCTTGCTGCACTATGTCAGGCCTAAAACAACAAGGCATCATGTTTTCAAGAGGTTATGAGCATTGTTCAAAGAGGGTGATTTTTTTTCAAAAAAAAAAAAAGAAAAAAGTGGGGGGGGGGGGGCTGTACCATGAATTTTTCTTAAAAGTATCTAGTCAAGAATGTGAAAACGTATTTAGCAGGACTCCTAGTGAATAAACATGGAACAAGTCAACAAGTGGGAAAAAAATCCAATAATCACCCTGATCAAATTGATGGTTCAATATTCAAGCAAACCTACATATACCTACTCAACAGTTCTTCAATAAATAGCTTAGAAGCCAGAGAGTTTCATGTCCTAAAACTCAAAAGATACATATTTCAAGAATAGTGGGCTGAAGGTTTGATGTAATTAAAGGAACACATAGTAAGTTATTTTAATCATCCCATTTAAATGAACTAACACAGAATATTTAGATGGCATGTAACTCACATGCGATTCTTTTCATTTATTTAACTCCAAAAATTACAAAACCAATCATAATTCATCCTGATCCATGCATTAGCAGTGAAGCACACAGTATCAACATCAGCCACAAGCTCACAACAGCAAGCAAACTGAAACAAAGAAAACTAGCAAGCACAGGTTACATATAGATTTTAGCATTACCTTAGCAGAGACAATCCTCCAGTTCTTGCCATTCCACTTGTACTGAGGCTGAAGCAGCTCCCGCACCTTGGTCACCACAACCTCCTTGGTCTTTCCATTGACACTTACCTCATACTCACCCTCGCCGACGACGCTCCGCACCACGCCGGGCGACCATGCCCCGTCGCAGTAGGCCTCGACGGCGGCGCCGGGGCCAATCCGGAAATCGCAATCCCGCGGCGAGCGCTCCTCGGACGGCCTGATGAACCGCCAGTGCAGGTACTCCACCGCCTTGGCCACGGCCTCCCCTTCCCCCTTCTCCAGATCGGAGTACTCGACGAGGTAGCTCATCCTGTCGATCACCTTGGCCACCTTGGCGTGGAACCACGAGTGGCCGTACACCTCCCGGTCCCTCCTCACCTCCACCTTGTCCCCGACCTGGTAAACCCTAACCGCCTGCTTGGGCTGGAGCGCGATCGCCGCCTCCGACGGGACCCACTCGCCGCCGACGTAGTCGCGGCGCGGGCGCACGAGGCTCCGCGGGAAGTCGATCACCTCGCGGGTGATGGGGAACGCGACGGTGACGACACCGCCGCCGCCGCCGCCGCCGAGCACGATGCCGGACCACCACCCATCCTTGTGAAACGCCTCGACAATGTCGTGCGGGGAGAGCGCGCGGAGGTGGTCGTCGGAGTGGGGTGGTGGCGGCGGCGGCCGGGGGCGGATGTGGGAGGGCGCGAAGTGCTCGACGAGGACGCCGCCGTCATCGGAGACGAGGTGGGCGTAGGACGCCGCGTAGCGCGCCGGGGTGCGCGGGCCGCGCGCGGGGACGAAGCCCACGACGACGGCCTCGAACCAGGAGCCGTGGAACCCGTCGGCGTCGACGCGGACCTCGACCTCGGTTCCGGGCGCCAGCGGGGGCTGCTCCCCCTCCACCCCGCCGCCGCCGGGGCGCGGGCTGCGGGGGGAGGACGAGCACTGCGACCCCTTCGGCGGCCTCGTCCACCGCCGCACCCGCCCGCGGCCGCGCCGCCGGCCGGTGAGCGGCGGCGAGCGTCCGGCTGCCATGGTGGAGGTGGAGGTGGTGGAGAGGGGGAATGGGAGAGGTTTTGGGTGGGTTTGGGGTGGGCGTGTCGTGTCGTCTACCCGTCTCGCCCATCCGAAGCGAGGTGGGAGTGGGGCTGTGTCACTGACAGGTGGGCTACGGTGGGGGTGCGCGGCGAGGGATGGGCCCACTTGTCAGTGTTTGATTTGACTGGAAGGATGGTGAATGCAAAGGTGGCGGAGGGGTGGTGGGACCAGGAAGTGGGGGTTGTGGGGCCTGTTTTGTCAGCAGTAGCTGACATGTAGCGCCCTCGTGGGGCCCACCGGTCAGTGGAAGTGCGATTCCCTAGAGGAGGAGGTGACCGTTTCATTGACAACCGGACTCCAGCGGCACTGCCGCACTCGTACTGGTAAAATGGACGTGACTACACTAGAGGTATAAATCAGCTAGACACTATCCACCTATATTTTAAATATAATTTTTTTCTTAAATTACTCATCCGATCTACTATCCGATTACACCGTTGTGTTCGTAACAATTAAATCTTTATAACAAGATCTCACATTATTGTGTTTTGATGAAAAAATATAAATTATTTTTATAATACATCTAAATTATTTTTGGATTTCACTAAGTTACTTTTTTGATATATAAAAGTAATTCAATAAAGCCTAAAAGTAATTTACATGTAATATAGAAGTAACTTATAAAAAAAGAAAGTAACTTCTAAAATATATGTTAATTACTTTAAAACTTTATTGAATTTACTTTTATATATTTAAGAAGTAACTTAGTGAAATCTAAAAGTAATTTAGATATATTATAAAATTAATTTGTGATTTTTTATCATAATATTTTTATCATAATAAAAAAAACTAATTACACAGATTGCGTGTAAATTGTTAGATGAATATTTTAAACCTAATTGTGCCTTGATTTGACAATGTGGTGTTACAGTAAACATTTACTAATGATGGATTAATTAGGCTTAATAAATTCGTCTCGCAATTTACAGACGGAATCTATAATTTGTAATTGATTTTTTTCACATTTAATACTCTATACATATATCCAAATATTTGATGCGACGAAAAAATTGAGAGTTTGAAGGGAATTAAATACAGCCTATTACAATGTGGAAATTTTCTATTTCAACACCTCAGCCACGCCTGTGATCCAACATGTCATATCGAACTGGCAATACAGGCCCCTCAACCGCACTTCCTGATCTCACTCACCACTCCCTGCAACCGCATTCACCACTCCATCCACTGACAAGTGGACCCCACCCCTATCCAGAAAGGACAAAAGCCACAGAGAAAATGGAAAAACCCCTAGTCCCCTTACACTTACACCGCGCAAACCCCGACCATACCCCACCTGTCAGTGACACAGGCTGGACGCTTTCCACGTAGCAATCGGATGGTAGTAGGCCCAGGGAAAGTGGGATAGATACACGAGTCGAGTCGAGATGCCGCGCATGAGGAGCTGTGGGGCCCACCTGTCAGTGACCCCACGTCCCTATGCCTTTAGAGCTCCCACCGCCACGCGCCACCCAAAACAAACCCCCCATTCCTCTCCTCCTCCATGGCCACCGGCGGCTCGCCGCCGCTCACCGGCCGCCGCCGCCGCCGCCGCGGCGAGAAGGTGCGGCGCTGGACAAGGCCGAAGAAGGGCTCGGTCTCCCGGTCCCCGCACTACCCGTGCCCCGGCGGGGAGGAGGAGCCCCCGCCGCCGCTGGCGCCCGGCACCGACGTCGAGGTCCGCCTCGACGGGGACGGGTACCACGGCACCTGGTACAGGGCCGTCGTCGTGAGCTTCGTCCCGGCGCGGGGGCCCCGCGCCCCGGCGCGCTACGCCGCCTCCTACGCCGACCTCGTCTCCGACGACGGCGGCGGCGGTGGCAGCGAGCCCCTCGTCGAGCACTTCGCGCCCTCCCACATCCGCCCCCGCCCCCCACCTCCCCCCTCCTCCGACGACCTCCGCGCGCTCGCCCCGCACGACATTGTCGAGGCGTTTCACAAGGATGGGTGGTGGTCCGGCATCGTGCTCGGCGGCGGCGGCGGCGTCGTCACCGTCGCGTTCCCCATCACCCGCGAGGTGATCGACTTCCCGCCGCGCTTGGTGCGCCCGCGCCGCGACTACGTCGGCGGCGAGTGGGTCCCGTCGGAGGCGGCGATCGCGCACCAGCCCAAGCAGGCGGCGGCGGTTAGGATTTACCGGGTTGGGGACAAGGTGGAGGTGAGGAGGGACCGGGAGGTGTACGGCCGCTCCTGGTTCCACGCCAAGGTGACCAAGGTGATCGACAAGATGAGCTATCTCGTCGAGTATTCCGATCTTGAGAAGGAGACGGTGGAGTACCTGCACTGGCAGTTCATCAGGCCGTCCGAGGTGCGCTCGCCGCAGGATTGTGATCTCCGGTTTGGCCCCGGCGCCGCCGTCGAGGCCTACTGCGACGGGGCGTGGTCGCCTGGCGTGGTGCGGAGAATTGTCGGTGAGGGTGAGTACGAGGTAAGTGTCAATGGGAAGAACAATGAGATTGTGGTGACCAAGGCGCGGGAGCTGCTCCAGCCTCAGTACAAGTGGAATGGGAAGAATTGGAGGATTGTTTCTGCCAAGGTAATGGTGGAATCTGTCTCTGAAACTCTGCGTATTAGCAGGTCGGGTGTCTGCTTGCATGTTTTAATCTTGTGGCTGATGTTGATTGATATTGTGTGCTTCATGACTGCTGATGCATGGATCACCCTCTTTGAACAATGCTCATAGAGATTTGCTCCGGTCCAACGAAAAGTATTTCGAGGTACCGGTACCTCACGGTACCAAATTGTTTCCGATCGTTGGATCTATCAATGCCTATCCTGCCCGCCTAGTTAGATCCAACGTTCGGAAACAATTTAGTACCGTGAGGTACTAGTACCTCGAGTTACTTTTTGTTGGACCGAAGCAAATCTCATGCTCATAACCTTATGAGAACAGGATACCTTGGTGTGTTTAGGTCCGACATAGTGCAACAAGAAGTTTCAAGCAAACTTATATTTAACAAGTGATATTACACAGCAAGCATTTTGTTGAATGCTCCACTCCTGTACTGAAAACACATGCTCAATTTTTGTTGTATTGTTTCCACAACTTCTTTTTCTTCACCATTGTACTTTTGATCTGGGGGGAGTTGGAGCAGCTACCATATGGCTAAGGTCAGCACGATGTTTTGTGGGCTGTCGTCAAGTCCTGGATACTTGTGAAATTTGCTCTGGTATATTGGATTAAGCAACCTATTGTTTTCATATTCGAGACTTATAACCCTATTTTCAAATTGTGCTTGGCAGTTGTGCAGAACTCCCACATAATTTGGAGACATTTTGTCTGAACTTGGCAAATAATCTCTCTCTCTTCATATATGTACCTCTCCATGATTGAATTCAGACAATTATTGGTTTCACAGTTGGTTTGAAATGTTTGGCCCATCATTATCTTTTACACATGTGTGTTATTGCATTTATTTTCTGTATTTGTAAAAAGATTCTTCTTAAAACTGTAAACTAAAATAATTTCAGCGAAAACTGAAAAAACTTCTGTACAGAGAAAATCATATAGAACTAAAAAAACTCTCATCCATGTATCAAGAAAATTCCATAATAAGACAAAAACTTTCAACAGAGATAGAAAGTGGTAATTTTTAAAATACTAAAACTTTCTACCAGAAATAAAATGCTTCCTTTTCCTAAAAAGGAACCAGAGATATTCCCCTACAATGACCTAAAATTTGTCGCAGTGGGCCCATGGTCAAACAACAGAAAAAACACAAAAAATGGAATCATGCTAAACATGGGATAAGGGGGGAAAAAGAAAGCTGCATTTAACAGGAAAAAATGGGATCGCATGCCTTGGAGGAATGTGAAAAGCTTATATCGTTGTAATGATTAGAGCCAAAGAAAGAAAACACATAGAGGCCAGAGAACTGTTTGTTGGCCATGAATGCGCAGCCATGACATATTTTGTTTACAGTTACCTGAATACATGTTTCAGCAGTCAATTACACATTGTTCTATTCGCTCATCTTCATATTTTTGCTATTGTACTTGCCTGCATTGGTTTCTCTATGATTGTTATTTCAATAGCTTATATGTCAACTCGCATGATCCACTCATGATATTTCTTTACTTGTATAGAGACGCTTGAGCCACCAGTTTGTGTCTGGAAAAAACCGAAGGTCACCAGCTGATGAACACTCCAGTGATGATGAACAAAAACAAGATACTGAATCTTCTGCCTGGACAATGTCAAGGAAAAGGTCAAAGAAGGAATTCAAGGCAACAGAACTGCCTGAAGTCAACTTACCTGAAGATTCTAATGCTGTAAGTCTTGTGCTGTTGACTTTTAGGAACTTGTCCATCCCGTATCCATATTCATGAGCATTTTTTGTGCTGCTTGTCAATATGTTTTGCAGGTGTCAAGAGAGGGTGATAGTGGTTCAAATACTAAGTATCAACAAGATGATGCGTCAAATCTAACAACTGTTTTACAATCTGCAGTTGCTACAATGAAGGGCTTTGAAGAATCAGATAGCCAACATAACTCGTGGGATGCAACCAGTACTGTCCAGCCCAAACGTAGAAAGCAAGCTGCAAGGCGACTGAAAAGATATTCTCTCGAGGTACGAGTCTTTGTCTTGATCACATATTTCCATTGGTTGCCACGTTCCCACTCTGCTGTGTATCTTGTTCAGAGACAGTTGAAGGGTGAAACTCATATTCAGCAGCAGCTTGATAAGACTTTGGAGGATAACCTGAATGCAAATCAAGTAACATATCAAGAACTGTTGCCATTAACACCTCCAGGCTTTGAATCAATTGCCAGTGGAAAACGTATGTTCTGGGAATTCTATCTTTGCTGTAAATGCTCACTTATTTTGTTGCATTCAATGTAACAGTTTTCTAATGATGTTTTTTTTGGGGCAGGTTCTCGTGATTGGAACACTGATGGTTTGTCTGAAATTAACTTACATTCTAGTCTGTTCGATGATGAGCTGGCTGCTACAATCAGTAGCATTTGTCAAGATAATCATAATGGAGATGCGGAGACTGACAATATGGTTACCCAAGTAGCTGAAATCAGCCATCTTATGGATAAACCTATGTTACCTTTTGACCTTTCAGTTGGATATGAGGTGGGTGGGAAAGAGGGAAATGGATCAACCCACTTACCTATTGGGAACAGTGGGAGTTTTCCGTGCACCAGTGACAACACCATATTAAGGAGCTGCTCATTGGCTGGGAATTCTATGGCTTCAGATATGTCTGTGTCAGCTCCCCGGTCAGCAGGCCCTATTCACCAAGACTAAGGATACATGGTCTGCATTTGAAATGATGGAAGTGTTTCGGAAGGATCCACAGGAGCCACATTTCCTTCCACTACAGCAGTTTCCAGAAGCGGTGCGTGAAAATATGGCTATAGGGTTATTTTGGTCATATATAGATGCTGGGGATGCAATAAGTAAATTACGCATAACGGACAGCACGAAGATATTTGAGAAGCACAACACAACACTCAACTATTTAGTGGAAAATGGATTCAATGTCCAGTCTTTGCAGTGCAAGCTAAACAAGGCGCTCCAGTTCAAATTGGATCGCACCCATTCTCTCGCATACAGGGAGAAGCTGAAAGAACAGGTGCTGGAAAAGCAATCTTCCTTGTCCCGCATTGGTGCATCGCGTGATGAAAATGATAGTGCTATGGCCAAGCTCGAGATGGAACTTGGGAGACACCGATGGGATGGCCAGATGATGTCAAAGAAGATGGAGGACGAAGAGGCGGAGCTGTCAAGACTCAAAGCGGAGGATAGCAACGCTCAGGAGGCATGCCGGGATGCTGAAAAACAGTTTCGCAGCGTCCTGGTTGAGGAGGAATGCATTAACAATTGATAGCAGGTACTAGCTTCTTTCGATGTGTCCCTCTAACTTATGCTCCAGCCTTCAGGGCTGTATGTGTATGCAGGCGCTAATCTAGGGCTATTTCGATGTGTCCTGACCTTTTGTTGAGATCGTCTATCTATGCTAGTCTGGTATGCCAATTATCTATGTACTTAGGGGATCGTTTGGATATATGCCAGTCCTAACCAAACCAACTCTTTGCCAATTGTAAGAAATGGTTGCTGCCAATTTATCTCTTTTGTTGTAATGGCTGGCCTCTTGTTTGGTTTGCTAGCAAAGGTGTGCTTTGGCTTTCAACTAAGTCAAATCGCTTTCTTGGCTTGACTGAGAGATGCAGATTGGCTGCAGGTACAGCCGTACAGGAGAGTGAATTGTTGAATTCATGTACAACTTGTTCTTCATTTCCTGTGATACAAAACCAAGATTGAATTGGTTTGCAAAGCATGTGGTTCTGACTGTGAGGGTTCACAAGTTCACTTTTAGTTGGGTGTGCCCTCGACGGAAATTTGGTTATAACAGCTTATGATCAAGTCTTAAACATGCATCTGCCTTCTTGCGCTCTGCATCTCTTTCATGTCTCATCACAAGTTTATATATCTTCTTCTTTGCACTGTACATCTCATTCATGTCATCCGTTGATCTAGGCCCTCTTTAGATCTACTGGGAAAATTTTACACCCCGTCACATTGAATATTTGGATTTATGTATGGAGTATTAACTATAGACAAAAAAAAACTAATTACACAAATTGCATGTAAATTGCAAGACGAATCTTTTAAGCCTAATAGCGCTATGATTTGATAATGTGGTGCTACAATAAACATTTGCTAATGACGGACTAATTAGGCTCAATAAATTCGTCTCGCGGTTTACAGGTGGATTTTGTAATTTGTTTTGTTATTAGACTACGTTTAATACTTCAAATGAATGTTCGTATATCCGATGTGACATGCCAAAACTTTACAACCCTGGATCTAAAAACACAGCCCTACTTAGACGAATAGTTCACACAGAAAATTGAACCTTAATCATCTACTCCTGTTGCAATGCACGCTCATTTTGCTAGAAATATATACTCCCTCCGTTCTAAAATAAATGCAGTTTTATACTGTGCATGTCCAACGTTTAACCGCTCGTCTTATTTAAAATTTTTTTATGTTTAGTATTTTTATTGTTATTAGATGATAAAACACGAATAATATATACTTTATATGTGACTAATTTTTTTTTGTTTTTTCATAAATTTTTTAAATAAGACGGACGGTCTGACGTTAGACACGGATACCCACGGCTGTACTTCATACGTCGCAGATTGATTGAAGTTGTTTCCGCAGGGTCCTTCATACGTCGCCCGACTCCATTGCCACTACTCACGTATTTTTCCTCTCCAGTTTGTTTTTTGTACATCTGTTGCCAGATATCAAGGACAAAAAGTGGACTTTCTCCTTTCTGCTATGGATTGAAGTGCTCACGATCGTTTAGAGGCCCAGCCTAGAAAAGCCCATCTCTGACTCTCTGAGCCTCCTAAGCTGCAAATGCACACACAATGGGCCAAAAAACTAGTAGTTAGCCGAGTAGAAATGTACACCGTGGCATGTTTTGTTGTCTGTTGGTGTTTAAGGTCCTATATACTCCTATGGGGCTATGGCAAGCAACACTATTACTCCATTGGTCCACGTGTAATGCAGGTAAATTCTATTACATTTGTGACAAGAATTTGTGGTCAAGATTTGGTATGCATATGCATATGAATATGGCGTTTTTTCTTCTTCTTTTGAAGTGGACTTGTGTCATAAGTTAATTAGACATGAACCCAACAAGGATAGCTGTCATTTGTTTCTGTTGGTCACACGCTAGCTACAGACGCTAGCTTAAACTAATCTCTCTAGTTAGGGAAATGGCCACGTTTAACTAACCAGACAGGATATACAGTATAAGCATTATTTAATCCTCCGTGCTTGAACACAAAGTGCACAACCGCATGCAACAGCCTACTCTCGTACACCTGCTAGCCTGCACGATATAGTACTTAATAATAGCGGGCGCACAAAGTTTGCGACCAATCAGTTAGGCTACATTGTTTTCTTATGATTAAGATGCATATTTTATCTCAGTTTCATAACCATGTTTTAAAAACTGTTAGACGATGTCTTTCGTACGAAACCTTTTTATATGTAGGTTTTTCAAAATAGTAGATAGATAAATCCATGTTTGAATTTGAAACAATTAAAACTCAATTAATCTTCCGATCAGAGCACTACATCATCTACCGCATGTTCGATTAAATCAACCCACACACGCGTGGCCGGCGCTGATTATATATGAGATTAGGGTACACACCATTCCCTCCGTCTCACTAAGACTTTATTTTTATGTTATCGTGTCTAATGTTTGACCGTTCATCTTATTAAAAAATATAATTTTTATTTTGAAAAAATAGTTACTCTCTTCGTCCAAAAAAGAACTCAATTTCTGAATTTCCATGTCTCACGTTTGGCCGTCCGTCCTATTTAAAAAAATTATAAAAAAAATTAAAAAGATAAGTAATGCATGAAGTATTATTTATGTTTTGTCATCTAACAATAATGAAAATACTAATCATAAAAAATTTCATATAACACGGACGATCAAACGTTGGACACGAAAACACAGAAATTAAGTCTTTTTGGGACGTAGGGAGCACAAAATACAATTCATGTTTTATCACCTAATAACAATAAAACTACTAATCATAGAAAATACTCCCTACGTCTTAAAATATAAGTATTTTTAGTTAATATCTAAAAGCTGAAAAATGAAGAGCGAGTATATATCTTAATTAGCCACCGAAGGCACGCACGTACGTGTGTCCTTTAATTTGCCTGGACACCAACGGTAGGTAATCGCACGGCGGTTAGCGTTAATTAAGTAGGGACCAATTAAGCAGCTAGCAAAGTGACGGTTTGGTTTTGTCTTTGGTCTAACCGCACGCGGCGGCAACAGTCGTAGAGCTTCGCACGCACACGTGCGGGTGTGGGCCCACACCACCCGACACCGAGTCGTGCCGAAGCAATTCATCATTGCAACTAACCACCGCCGCTTGGCGACGACGCGTACGTAGCTTCCGCGAAGCACCTGCGTGCGTCTGTGCATGCGACGCATACGGTTTTTTTTAGATTGCATATAAATTTTTATTAATTAATCCGATCTCTATATTCACATAGGATATACACAATCAAAATGATACAACGACAGTTAGATTCCCCGTCTTCGAATATGCTCATATAGGTAGGGTTTACGTGTGTATGTTTATAGGGTGAGTGTGTGTACGTTGGAAGTGTCTACGTTGTACTGTGTAATTCTAGAAAATAAAACACGTACAACCACAAAAAAGAAAAACCTAGTCAGGTGAGTTGACGCCACATGCCACTGGTTAATTTGTTCACCTTTAATCATCAGCATCCAGTCAGAACTAATTGACCCAGACGCGAGCCGACGGGATTTGCTTCCGCTTCGTTGGATTCAAAGGCCACCACTATCCATAGAGTCGACGCCGTTATCGTGATCCCCTTCCACCTCCCAGACTCTAAGGCTGCCACTGAACTCTAAGGCTGCCACCTCTGCCGAGGTGCACATATCTTGCTGAAATCTTAGTCCTCCGCTGTCACCGCCGAGGATATCCTATTCCACCTAGACTCCCTACAGGCATTCGCCACCTCTAGGGCTGCCGCCACTGACGGGATCCACCTTCGCCTGATCCTCTCCCCACCCCCACCCCCACCCCCACCCTCCCCTCACCAAGAACCTTGCGCTAGCTTTCATGCCGTCATCGACGAAGAGATCCTTTCCATGTACATACATATATACACGTATACGGCACGTGTACCTACTTATAAGCAAGTTTAATAGTATAGCACACTACTAGCTACAAATCATCTATAGCCAATGTAATAGCTAATTTATACCATAGTTGCTTACTATACTATTAATTACCTGGTCCCACTTATCATACATACATTACGTTTTAGAGTCCGTGCTGCAGCTAGCTATCTGCTCTTCTCTCTCTACCTTTATTTTTTTAAAATATGTTTATAGCTAGCTTATAGTTTGCTTGTAGCCTGAATCTTTACCTCTCACATCTATCTGGCTAGATGCGAGAGAGATCAGCAATGCAAAGGCGAGGGAACGAGTCGCCAAGTTACCCTTTTCCTCCACGTACACCAATGCGCGCGCGCGTGCGAACGCTTTCGCGCGCACGTACGGTCGCATCCTATGATCAAGCTGCAGGTCGGTCGGGGTCCATTATCCATACGTGTGCCGCCTTTCCCCGACACGCCCTTTGACTCGATCCTTTTTTTTTTCCTTGGACCAACTGAATGTAGTACGTAACTACGTACGTGTGAGCGTCACACGTACATATGCATGCATTGAACACTATACGTACGATCGTTTGATCTTAATCGAGGATCAATATTTTGTTTTTCGCAAAAAGATTACATGTTAAAATATATTAGAAAAAACATTGATTTTCGTTACACAACAGCCAGACAGGCTTATGCCAAGGAGTAAAAAGAAAGAAAAAAAACAAAGCTGCAGCCGGTAAAAGAAAAAGAGGTACTGCGGAAAAAAGCTACTCCAAGCAACAAGATAGCAGAGGCAGATCAATATCGAGGATCAATATTCGTTATTTTATTAGGTTTCACATATTTATTTAATCTATAAATAGATTCGTGGATGATTCACTTGTAGCCTTAATTAAGCACATCAAGCATCTCATGGATAAGGGCAACATATCCGTGTATGTACACGTGTTGATCATTGGGCATTGGCCACGTCGATAGATCCACGTGTACGTACGTACGGTCCACGTGGTGGCCCGTCGCGAGTATGTTGCATGTGAATGTGTACACACTGCATCTCACAATGTTGGCACGTGAATTTGTGCATGCGTAGATACTATTCGTCCGTTTTACAATGTAAATTATTATAGTATTTTTCACATTTATATTGATACGGAAAATGCTAGAATGACTTACATTGTGAAACGGAGGGAGTATGAACACACAACGTTCATTAGTATAGCTGAGTTAATTGGCACAATACCGCGTCGTGGATAATTCACAACCGTAATATGTGTTATATATATATATATATATATATATATATATATATATATATATCAGCCATAATATATATATCAGCCATTTTCATTATCGGCAGTGATCCAAATACGTATTTTGAGTCCATTTGTCCATAAATGTATGTATA